AGTCTTATACACATTTCTGGAAATACCCCTGGAGAAGAAAAAAAATTAAAGCTGGAACCCAGTTGAGATTAGTCATTGCTGTTCAAATGCTCAAGAACGCTGGCTGTCTGCCTCTTTTATGCCCCCTTCTTAACTGAATACTTAAATTGCATAACAAAGGAGCATTTGTAGTTTGAAATACTGATATCAACTTGTCTAGCAAGGTTTAAAAGAAAGAGCTATTTGCCTTTTGTTCATGGTTTGAGTGGAAAGAGATGGTGTTAATTACCGGCTGGCTGGGTGCCCACGTGTCAGCCTGACTGGCAAAGCAACAGAGGAAGGAAGGAAGAAATGACTGGACATTTGTGGTGTGAAAGCTGAACTTGAACTGCTCTAACCTTGCATTTACCCACAGTGTGTCATGTGCCATAAAGGAAATGCAATTCTCTGAATGAGCCATCAACAATACATCATTAAGAAATTTTGTTTTATTGTAGTAAAAACACGGACAACACAACATTTGCCAATTCACCTTTTTTTACGAGGACCAATTCGGTGACGCTGGTATCATTCATTATTTCTACAGTCATCACGACTACTTGTTAAAAAATTCCCACCACCGTTCATCGAATTCAATCCCTTCTCAGCCAAGACTTCTTTCCCTTCCTTCTACCTCTTGTAACCATTAATAAATTTTGGTGTCTACATTTACCTGGAGTCCTGGTGTGGTGCTATGAGTTAATGGAAGGTTGGTTTGTACTGCAAGGTCAGCAGTTCAAGCTCACCAGCGGCTCCTCAGAAATCTATACAGGGTTGCTGTGAGTCGAAAACTACCCAACAGCACTTAACAACAGGATGCATTTCCCTATTTTATGTAAGTTAAGTGCCAGTGAGTCTATTACGACTCAAAGCAACCCTGTATATGTTTTCCAAGGAGCAGCTGGTGGGTTTGAACCACTGATCTTTCAGTTAGCAGTCCAGTGCCTATCCTCCAGCACCACACCAGGACTCCTACAATATGTCTCCTACTGACTTTTTTTTTGTCCTTTTGTGACTGACTGATGTCACTCAATAGGTCAAGATTCATCCAGGCTGTAACTTGTATCAGAACTTTTTGTCTCTTTATGGCAGTGATAGTCCATCGTATGGGTCACATTTTGTTTATCCAGCCATCTGTTAGTGGACACTTCGTATCTTTCCATCTTTTGACTATTGTAAACAGTGCTGCAATGAACATTGATGTACAAGTTTTTGTTCCTGCTTCAATGCCTTTGGGTCTATATGCCTCGGGTTGGTATTGCTGTATCATATGGCCACTCTATAAGCAGCTGTTTTTGCATTCCCACCAGCAGTGGATGATGGGAATGTAAAAACATCCACATCTTCCCAAATACCTAGTGTTACTTCCAAGGAGTGAAATAGCTAGGTCATCTATCAGCTGTTGTTATTATTAATATAATTTCTTTAACTGTAGATGTATGTACTCTAATTTTTAATTAGATAGATTGGCACAGTGGCAGCAACAATGGGCTCAAGCGTAGCAATGATTGTGATGTTGGCACAGGACCAGGTAGTGTTTCGTTCTGTTGTGTATAAGGTTGTTAGGAGTCTGTACTGATTCAACAGCACCTAACATCAATTTTTTTCAAATTATTGTTAACAATGGAATCATAAGCTTTCTGAAAACATATCAGCTCTCATGAGTTAGTATAAACCACCTCCCTCAGACCACTGAATAGGATCCCTACAGTTCAAATGTTTTGGCCTTGATTTCAGTCACCACAGCAATTGATCATATGCTACCTCAAAATGGTTGAACATCGACCATTCCTTTTTGGTGCAGTGACTCTGTGTATTCCTTCCATCTTCTTTTGATGCTTTCTGCATCATTCAATATTTTGCCCACAGAATCCTCCAATATTTCAAAGCCAGGCTTGAATTTTTTTCTTCAATTCCTTCAACTTGAGAAATGCTGAACGTGTTCTTCCCTTTTGGTTTTCTAACTCCAAGTCTTTGCACATTTCATTATGTTTGACTTCATCATCTCTAGCTGTCTTTTGAAAATTTCCATTTTCTGTTCAGCTCTTTTTCCTCTTCATTTCTTCCATTTGCTTTATCACCTCTACACAGAAGAGCAAACTTCAGAGTCTCTTCTGACATCTATTTTGGTCTTTCCTTTTTTCCTTGTCTACTTAATGACCGTTTGCTTTCTTCCTGTATGATGTACTTAATAGCATCCCACAACTCTTCTTGTCTTCGGTCTTTAGGTCATCAATGTAGACATCATTTATTCAAGAGAAACAGCTAATGTCCATAAGGATAATGAACTTTGTGACGTTTTACCTTACACACTACGTTGAATAGTATTCTTTGTTGTTGTTGTTAGGTGCCATCGAGTCGGAACCAACCCATAGTGACTTTATGCACAGCAAAACAAAACACTGCCCAATCCTGGGCCAACCTCACTACTGTTGCCACGCTTAAATCCATCAATGCTGCCATTTGGCCAGTCCAGCTCATTGGGGGCCTTCCTCTTTTTCTCTGACCCTCCACCTTACCAAACATGATATCCATCTCCACTGACTGGTCCCTCCTGACCATATGTCCGAAGTAGGAGAGATGAAGTTTCGCCATCTTAGCCTCCAAGGAGCTCTATGTTTGCCATCAAATTCATATCCTTCCCAGAACTTTAGAATGTGACTTTATTTGGAAATAGCGTCATTGGAAACATCATCAGTTAAGATGAGGTCAGGAACAGGTGGACCCTTACTCAAAGAGGAGAAGAGACAGACACAAGAATGCCATGTGACATGGAGGTGGAGATTGAAGGGATGGACGTGTCTGTGAGAAACAGCAAGGACCTCCAGTAACACCAGAAACGTACAGCGCAGAATCTCCTTAGAGCCTCAGAAAAACCATGGCCACATGGACACCTTGAGTTTGGACTCCAAAACTGTAGGAGCATAAATCTCTATTTTTCCAACTCACCCAATCTGTGGTAATTTTTTATGTCAGTCCTAAAATTTTAGAATGCTCTCATCCTGTCCTCGACTTCCCTAATCATTGGTAGCCTTGGAAATAACAGACTACATTTGGAGTACAGGAAGAAGTAGAACAAAACTGGAGTTGCCTCAGAGCTGCATTCCTGGAGAACAGTCATTCATTGACATTTCTGGTGGTTCCCTGGAGGACCCCATATCAAAGATTTATCTTTATTTGACCTGACTCAGTGCTGCCTGGTTCTCAAAGCTTCTCTCCGGGGGGACACATCTGTCAGAACCATTTATAGGCAAGTGTTTTCATGCTGCTACTGCTTGAGTCAGTAGATGACAGCTGGGACAAACAGTAGACTATCCAAAAAAGCCCAAAAGGAAGATGAATAGTGGGAGTTCACAAGGACTTTGAAACGCTCAGATACATTCCTTAGAATCTGGAAGTCCATACTCATGTGTAGGGCTGTACTCATGCTGAAGAAGGACCTGAGAAGTCCTTAGACCCTCACGTCTGGCTAACTTGAGGCTTTGAGCAAGCAGGAAATTGAGTTGTCAACAGCTGACTAAGTGTTGAAGGTGTCCCTCTGCAAAGACTGGAAGACTTTTGGGTTCCAAAATTTAAGGAGATGTCTGTCCAATCATTAGTTGACCACAAGTTACCTCAGCAGAGACTTCAGTAGTTGTTGTTAGGTGCCATTGAGTTAGTACCAACTCATGGAGACGTTATGCACAATGGAACAAAACACTGCCCGGTCCTGTGCCAACCTCACCATCATTGCTACTCTTGAGCCCATTGCTGCTGCCTCTGTGCCAATCCATCTTGTTGGGGGTCTTCCTCTTTTTCTCTGACCCTCTACTTTACCAAACATATTATCCAGGCACTGGTCCCTCCTGATAATATATCTGAAGTACAAGAGACGAAGTCTGACCATTCTGGCTTCCAAGGAGCATTCTGGCTCTACTTCTTCCAACATGTTCTTTTGGTAGTCCATGGCACTTTTAATATTCTCCTCCAACACTATAATTCAGTAGCCACATAGAAAGAATACAGCCTTTACAGAATTAGTTCAGATGTGTCAAAAAACCAAGATGTCAGAGTCCAGTTGAAATTAAAAGTAAAGAGATTTTATTGAGAGGTATGGCAGTTAGCAAATTGGGAATCACAAGATGCACATGCAGACACAACTGGCTAAAGTGCCTCCATCTTCTACGGAAACAGGTTGTCAGTTCTAACCTTAGTTTGTACTTTATTTTAGGTTAATCAGTAGCTAACTTCTACCCAAGAGGCTGTTAAAAGAATAAAGAAGTTCCTGAAAATCCTGGAAGAGACCACCACAAGCTGAAATAAGAAGAAATAATAAAGAAGTTCTTGCAAGTCCTCAAGCCTTCACACCATGCCCAAAATCCCCATTAAATCCTCTTTCTCCTTCCTCCTCAGTGTGAAAAATGCTGGGTACTGCCTCAGCCCCTCTTAAGCACTAGCGGATCAATATAAACCCCTGACTTGGACCTTACCTCAATGGAACTCCAGAGAGAGAACTGGGGCGGACCGCCTTATCCCATATAAGGTTGCCAATGGGTTATCATGAGTGTTTACCACCAAATGCTCCAGAAATCCAGTCTGTACTCATTTCAGTGAGAGAAAGAAGCCTGTTTATTTGATTTTGCAAAATCGGGCATCAGACTCAGCAGACATGGGCAGACGCAAGTCATGGCCAGCTTGCAGACAGTTTTATTCCTCTGTCTTAGAAAAAGTCCCTTCTCCAGTTCCTCTTTATTGGGTATTATGGAGTTTACAATCTCCCCCTGAATGTCAAAGTCATCTACTAGTCCTTACTGGGATCAGGATCATTATTCATTTAAAGTTTTCTCCCCTCCCTGTGAACTTCTAATATTTCCTTGATGGGTGTATTCATACTTAAAAAATTCTAACTGGTCAAACTAGTCTCTTCCTCTCCCCTGAGCTCCTTTTGTTATGCTAGCCTGCTACCACCCCCCACCCCCTCACTGCCACTCTCCCACCCCTAGATTCTCCTTAGTCCTGAAGATGATTAACCCAAGAGTTATTTCTCACACCAGGGAGGCAGTCTAAGTGGCCCCTCTGCAGACATTAAATCTTGCTCACTTTACCATACCCCTGTGGCACTGTATGGTAAGCATTGGACTACTGACCACAAGGTTAGTGGTTCAAAGCCACCAGCCACTTTTTGGAAACTGACTTGACGGAGCTTAAGAACAATATCTCCAAGTAATTGGCTTTCCTGAAGCAGCCAACAGAGCCGCCATTTTGTGGTATCATGGAGAATTCTGAGCCAAGCCATCCAAGGAGGAGACAGTTCAGGAAGTTCTTATGAAAAAAACACAACAAAAATTCAGTGATTGGTTGGCATTTAGGTAATGGTTACAAAATTGACCTCATGTGTCCTTGAGGCAATCAGGAGACATTTTTTGCGTTACCACAGGGAGGACATGCGTAATTCTAAGGCTTATCTTGAACAAACATCTATTCTGAGAATTGCTTTGAACCTGTTTCTTAAACAGGGCGTATTTTTAGGCAAGGAAAACTCTTAAGCAACCAAAAATCACATTTTTCTCAAATTATTTGCCAAGTAATTTTCTCAGGGAACAGTGAAAAGTCACAGAAATGACAGGCTGTACTTCTCGAATACTTTTATTATTTTTTAAACCTTTTATTGTGGCTTGGATGAAGGTTTACAGAGCAGATTGTCTGTTTTGCATGCAACCAATCATACATTTTGCTTCATTACAGTGATTGTAATCCCTTCCATGTACCAATGGTTAGCAATGCTGACCTCTATTCTCTTTAACTATTTCATTTCTCCCTCTGCCTCCCGCTACCTTCATCTTTCCTCTGCTAACCTTCTTGTATATTGCCTTCCTTGTCACCCATTTAAACATATGTCTACCCATGAGTAATTTTCCCTCCCTACTTCTCCTATTTGTTGTTGTTGTTAAGTGCCATCAAGTCGGGTCCGACCCATAGCGACCCTGTACAGGGTTTCCGAGGGTGTAAATCTTTACGGGAGTAGAAAGCCTCATCTTTCTCCCGC